TACTTCGAACTCGTACTTTCATACCCCGGGGTACGTACGAGTACTACGGTACTGCCAACGCAACTGCGGGGTTTGAATTCTGAACAAACGTCAAATGTGCGTTTTTGGATTTGAACAGATCGGCACACTTTCTACGGAGTGCATATCGTACTCGTACTATACTCGTAGCGTACGAGTACCTACGCTACGGTAGATCTCGTAATGGTACTTGTGCGTTCCATTTGGGTGGTCGAAGGAGTCCAACAGTCCGGTTTTTGAGTCTTCGAAAACAATCATCGAGGTTCTTCATCTCRCCCGTTGTTTCGAAGGCAATCGGCAACGAGTTTTTCGCGATGGTTGACTCGAAACTACTGTATTACAGTAGTAATGATCGTTCGTGATAGTTAATGTTATTGTTATTGTGATTGCGAGCAGTAGCAGAAACAACAAGAGCAACAATAACAATAGCAATAAAAGCAACAGCAATAAATACCCTGCTTGACCGCAGCACCGAACATTGAACGTTGCAACGAAGCCAGTCGAATCCCACCAGGCTGAATCCAATTCAATCCAATCGAATCCAATCCAATCCAATCCAATCGAATCAATCGGGACAACCACAAGATTCCTACAGCGTTCCAAGAACAACACATCGATCGATCGGAAGTAAAATTGCTAGCAACTGTTGCGCTCCGCCTCCTTTTTCTACCCAGACGTATCAACCCAGCACCTGCACGGTTTGGGATACATCGAACATCGAACAACACGAGTAGGAACACGAATAAGAGTGCGAATACGAGTGCGAATACGAGTACGATTCCAGGCCGCTGATCTAGAACGACCGAAATACACGCCAACTCCAAAACCAACACCAACACACAAGCCACCAAAGATGTCTGCCGGAGAATGCCAAACGTCGAACAGGAACGACTACGATGACGTGAGTTGAGCTGAGTTGACTTGCGTTGGGTTGGGTTGGGTTTGTTGTGTTGTGTTGTGTTGTGTTGTGCCTTGTCTCCTCGTGTGTTTGAAGCTCTGCTTCTTGCCAAAAGTGCTGGGCACAGCAACATGCTGCCCTGCCGTTGATGTGCTGTGCTAGCCGCAAATTCTCACGCTTGCCAATTTTGCTCTCGATTTTCATTTGGATTGCACGATGCGATAACATAACCTGCGACAMCAYGCAATGTTACAAAATGCAATGTTACAACACGCAATGTTACAAAATTCAATGCGACAACATGGTGGATGATCGTAATGTATTCCGGTCAACACCACCAACCGAACAAAAAATCGACCACGAATTCTTGCGCTGTTTGTTGTGCGATGTGCGATGTGCGATGTGTGGCTTATGTTGCAACTCTTCCGTTGCGAAACGCAAAATTGATTGCCGATGCATCTCCATTCCTCTGTGCACGCAACAACAACAACAAAACGAAATGGTGAATCCATACGATACGAAATCTCCGCTTTCCGCCTCTCGTTGCCGTTTCCGTTGTCCTTTGTCGCACAATCAAATCAAACTAAATCAAATCAAACTAATTCGAATGCAATCCAATCCAATCCACCGCTGCGCACAGGAGGATGAAGGAGACGCTCCACCTCCTCTCGACGAGGGCGACATTGCCCTCCTGAAATCCTACGGCCTTGGTCCCTACTCGATACAGATCAAAAAACTCGAGGACGAAATCAAAAAGCACCAGAAAGAGGTCAAGAACCTCATCGGAATCAAGGAAAGCGACACGGGATTATCGCCTCCGTCCATGTGGGATTTGGTGGGCGACAAGCAAATGATGTCCGAGGAAGCACCCCTCCAGGTGGCGCGCTGCACGAAAATCATTGCCGACGAGGGAGAGGCCGAGGGCGGAAACGCAAACGCCAACTCGAACTCGGAGGGAACCTCGGGCAACGCCCAGGCGCCCAGCAAGTACGTYATCAACGTCAAGCAGATTGCCAAGTTCGTGGTGGGCCTCGGAGAAAAGGTGGCGCCCACGGAYATCGAAGAGGGCATGCGGGTGGGCGTCGACCGCTCCAAGTACTCCATCCAGATACCCCTCCCCCCCAAGATCGATCCCACCGTCAGTCTCATGACGGTCGAGGACAAGCCCGACGTCACCTACGACGACGTGGGGGGTGCCAAGGAATCGATGGAAAAACTCAGGGAGGTCCTCGAGACCCCCCTCTTGCACCCGGAGCGCTTTGTGACACTCGGAATCGAGCCGCCGAAGGGGATCTTGTTGTACGGCCCKCCGGGAACCGGAAAGACGCTCACGGCCCGTGCCGTTGCGAACCGGACGGAYGCCTGTTTCATCCGCGTCATCGGATCGGAGCTCGTCCAGAAGTACGTGGGTGAGGGCGCCAGGATGGTCCGGGAACTCTTCACGATGGCGAGATCGAAGCGGGCCTGCATCGTCTTTTTCGACGAGGTCGACGCGATCGGGGGAGCCCGTGGCGGCGGGGGCGACGACAACGGCTCCGACAACGAGGTACAGCGGACCATGCTCCAGATCGTCACCGAGCTGGACGGATTCGACGCGAGGGGGAACATCAAGGTCCTCATGGCCACCAACCGGCCCGACACCCTCGACCCCGCCCTGCTCCGACCGGGCCGTCTCGACCGAAAGGTGGAGTTTGGCCTCCCCGACCTGGAGGGACGGGGGCACATTCTCAGGATCCACTCGAAGCGCATGAACTGCGACCGGGACATCCGCTTCRAGCTCATTGCCCGCTTATGCCCCAACACRACGGGGGCCGAGCTGCACTCGGTCTGCACGGAGGCCGGCATGTTTGCGATCCGGGCCCGCCGCAAGAGCGTGTCCGAGAAGGACTTTTTGGAATCGGTCAACAAGGTCATCAAGGGATACAAGAAATTCAGTGCCACGCCCAAGTACATGGTCTACAACTAACGTAACGAAAAMACAACTAAGACGAAACTAACGGAAACTACAAGWRKAAGCACAACTATTCCTAGAGCTACAGCTAGCTACAGCCTTGTGCCTAGTAGCACGGCAGTGGAGTACCGAGGCATCGTGCATCGTGACGACAGCTGCAGCGGCAGCGACACACAGCAGCAGTGGTTGTGCGGACACTACTCGTATTCGTGCCGAACGAACCTGCTGCCACTGGCAAACCCAACAAACGCAGAAAGTGCCAAGCAGCATTTTCGATGGGTACGAACTCGTACGGTACCGGTACTGTTCCATACMCTATCCYACTRCCGCCCGGAAACGGACGGGGGGCAACACGCTGCGTGCGGGTGTTCGACCGATCTACACGGCACGGCACGGGGCAAACGCACGGATTGCTCTCCGTCCATACCTCCCACGGTCGGGTCGTTTGTTTGTTTGTTCGTTTGCTTGTTTGTTTGTTTTTGTTTCCGTCTTCCGTCTTCCCCTAGATCACGACAGCGGACGCAGCAGAAGCGGCGCAGGGACCCAGCCGGACCAGGGCGCAGCTTGCCCGGCATAATTCGTASACGTTCTCTCCCTTGTACCTCTTGCGGCACCGCTTTCGAATCTTGCGCTTGTTCTTTTTGGTGAGGGGGGTGGCAAACTTTGCGATCCACCTCTTGCAGGATTTYTTCCTTTGGCTTCGAAACCGAAAGGCCTCGTCGTCCACGCAAGAAACGGTGGGGGGGGTTGGGCTCGCGGTGGTGGGGGCAAGAGTGGAAACCAAAAACTCCTGCGTCGGAGCYACCGTGGGAGGCGGGACCGGAGCAGGCRCAGGCGCAACCGGAATCCTTGTGGGGGCTACCGTGGGAGGCGGAACCGGAGCCATGGTTGGAGCTGCCGTGGGTGGGGGGACCGGCGTAACCGGAAGATCTTTGGGAGGCATTGTGGGAGGAGGGACCGGAGGAGGTGGGGGGTTTGGATTTGGAACAATCGTAGGTGCAGGTGCAGGTGCAGGTGCACCTGCCTCGATACAGAACTCGTGTGTATTCATCAGTTGCATATTATCGCCTCCCCCAAAGATCTCTATGCTATCAAGAAATCCTTTGTAATATCCTTCCCCAGTAGCACAGCACATATTATTGCCCCAGAGCTCCTCAATCTGGAGTTCATAGCAAGACCCTGGCGTCAAGCAATAGTAATCATCTTCGGCAGGATAAACATATCTTTTGCCACCATCACCAGAAGGACCAGCAATGTACGTAGCAGATGCAATTACGGCTCCATCCTTTTCTCGCAAACTCMAGGGATTGTCGGAGGCCCAATAATCGGTCCGAATTTCGAATTGAAATCTTCCAAACGCGTCACCACAACTGATCGGAGCAGGGGTAACAGGAACCTGTGTCGGAGCTACCGAGGGAGGTGGAACCGGAGCAGGCGTAACAGGAACTTGTGTGGGAGCTACCGTTGGAGGTGCAATTGGAGCAGGCGTAACTAGAATCATTGTTGGAGCTACCGTGGGAGGTGGTGCTGGAGCAGGTGTAACCGGAGCTATTGTTGGAGCTACTGTTGGAGCCGGGACCGGAGCAGGCGTAATGGGAACCTGTGTCGGAGCTACCGTGGGAGGTGGGACCGGAGCAGGCGTAACAGGAACCCGTGTCGGAGCTACCATGGGAGGTGGGGGGTTTGGATTTGGAACAATCGTAGGTGCAGGTGCACCTTCGTCGACACAGAACTCGTGTATGTTCATGAATTGCATATCATCACCTCCCCCAAAGATCTCTATTGTATCAAGAAATCCTTTGTAATATCCTTCCCCGTAACCACAGCACATATTATCACCAGAGAGCTCCTCAATCTGGAGTTCATAGCAAGACCCTGGCGTCAAGCAATAGTGATYATCTTTGGCAGGATAAACGTATCTTTTGTCACCATCACCATCATAATTATGACCATAAGTGTAAGTAGCAGATGCAATTACAGCTCCATCCTTTTCTCGCAAACTCCAAGGATTGTCGGMGGCCCAATAATCCAACTGAATTTCGAATTGAAATCTTCCCAAGCTGCCACCACAACTTCTTGTTGGCGTGCCAGTAGGAGCTGCTGTAGTACTGRTGACTATCTCAATGATTGCATCATTTCCTGACCGGGAGAGGTATTTTATGTAGACCTCATCATCCAAGCCTTTGAAGTTTTCAATTGCATAGGTTTCACCAACATCAAGAGCGGCAAGTCGATTGCTGGCGCCAATATTATTGGGACCACCAGTTGGTTTCTCCATAACAGCCACTTTGTTCACAGCGTCAGTTGTGCCAGCATTGGGACCAGTGGCCAGGTTGAATCCAATGTAATAATCTTTCCCTGGAGTTGGCAGGTCTCCATCCATCTCAAGACGCAATGTTACAAGCTTATCGGAAGTTCCAGTGGCCTGGTACTCATCAATRCCAGTCAAGGTGAATGTTTGGCGGCCACCAGGTAAGTTGAGGGGATCTATCGATGCTCTTTGATTATTGTACCATCCCAATTGATAGTTCTTGGCTGCATTGAAGCATTGTTGGGGATGGTCATCATCGTTAAAGGAAAATCCCATCATGTCCGAAGTATCACCGTACTCAACGTCGCCCAAGCTACTGTGACCCAAATTGAGGTTGTGACCTGTTTCATGCATTTGAGCAGACACTCGCTGGCACCAGTAATCGTTGTAAAACGATTGATAGCCATTGATCATTGCATATGCAAGCCACCCTTCGTCTCCCGGTGGCAAACAGAACAGAACTAAATCGTACAGACTGCCGAGTCCATAAGGACCACCATAGGATTCTTGTGCTGCAGCCACAACAGCATTTTCCACTTCCTGATGGGGCGAACCGGCCACGGCGATRTCAATCTTGACCACCACTACCCCACCATCGCCAACGCTGGCGGGTTGGATAATGAGTTGGTTCTTGGAACAGGCTTCGTACTGTGTCTTCAAACACACTGGATCTTCAAAGATATCATTTTTGAACTGTGAAATAGAATCCGTATTTGTGACACCAGCACCATCTACGACCATTACMACCAAAGTTTCTCTGACACCAACTGTAGGGTCACCAGGAGCGAGTTTCCTTCTTTTTCTGTAKCGTGCAGACTCGCTTTCGCTTTCCGAAAGCTTCCCAAAGGTTACAGAGTTTTTTTTACCAGGGAAAACGATTTTCACTCCCGTGGACACCTGAACGATTGAAGCACCTTCGGCCTTCATGTAAGAATCGCCCGAGACAGGCTTCGCCTGCTCGATGTATTCCTGCTCAACTCCATCCAGTTCGCAAACTATAGAGTTTACAGAAAACAACCGGGCTGACGCGTGTTCGATTTCGCAGCACCACATTGATTCCTCGCTACCATCTTCGTATTTGATGTCCTTTTGAAAAAGCACGCAGTACGGTTCCATGGGGTGGCTGCTTCCGATGCTTGCGTTCCCGATTGGATGACCAAAAGCACACCGAAACAAGTTCGCTTTGGCGAATACCGCAACAAGAATCCAGACCATAGAGATGTTCAACATCATGTCACTGTGTCACAATCACAACAGGTATGAGTGCAAGAAAAAATGTCGACGAAGGGCCACTTGGAGCAGCAATGATTTGGTAAACTCGTGTACTCCAGGGTACGATCCGAAGTCGACTGTTCACAAAGTCAAACGATTGACGGAGCAATCGATCAATTTTCGATTGCAAACAATGCTGTCAGTGGAGGGGATGAGCAGCAACGATAACGATAGCGCGGAAAAGTAAGTTGCCATCAGCGATTTTTCTGATCGTAAAACCAACGCTATTTTTCGTGTGAATTACTAYTAGCAGTTGTACGAGTTCCCGTTTCGAACGAAGGCAWWAGATTRTTTTACTATATTATTGTACGTATAACCCTATGAGTTCTCGTTTATTTTTTTGTATGTGAGAAATCTTTCTTGACCATGGCCGAAAATTATCAATCCTGATGTGACATTCGAATTCATTGAAATGCTTAAACAATACCTAAGAGGAGTCAAGAAAATTTATCTAGGCTATCATATTCGATTTTGATATGGAAGAAAATATCTTTGATAATTTCCGTTGATAGATAAAATTCTTTTTATATTTGTAAATTGCTCACGAAGAATCCGTCGGCCAGAGAAGGCTCAATAATTTCGTGCATAACCTGCAAAATGTACGTGTGCTCTTACAGGGGTCATAATTTAGAGGGGTATGCAACGCGTCGAAACTCATATTCCACGTGCGGTCCAAATTTCCAAAAAGTCACTCAAGGATTTTTTTTCATTCTCATTTTTACTG